TTTTTTTTTTTTTTTTTTTTTTTTCAAACTCCCGCACTCATAACATGTGACAAAAAGCTACTCTATGCCAGATTGATTGCGCAGGGCTACTTAAACGTTCTCTTCAACTTCACACACTAAACCAGTGCTGCCGCGTAGTTTATCGTGCCAGTAGTGCTAGTAGTGCTTTACTTTAGTGGAATGGATTTTTTTTATTTTTTATTTATACAGTTAACACTGTAGTGGCAGCACAAACGAAATGCTCCACGGAAATATTCGATCTTACATCTCGCACTCTCTTATATTGTTGGCAAAGAGGTATTAGTGAACCTGGGAGAGTTAAAAAAAAAAGTTGAATAAATCAACAGCAAAAATAGGGAGCTGGACGATGGGAAATACACCGACTATAATATCACGTAGAAATTCCTCACCAACAGGAAATAATGTAAAACGGGTTCACTGGGGTGGTTCAGGTATGGTTTTAACATCGGCAACAGTTATTATTGCATGCCAATTTAATTGAAGGCGCACTCATCGCTTATAAAGAGCCATAAAAGCTTGTTCCGCATTTACTTTGAGAATTCAAATACACACAAAGAGTATAAAAAGAATATGATCCCCGACTGAATATCAGATAGCTCTACTGTATTTATTTATATATTCTAGAATATCATTGATTGATCTGAATTTCGTGTAAATCGCAATGATATTGTAACTATCCATACATTTTCACTCACGTTTCACCTATATTGAATATAGAATTATGTATTGAATGGTATCTACATTAGTTTATTTATATATACATTCATCGGTCTAAATAGTCCTAGCTACTGCTTCTGATGTTGCCAAACGTTTTATTTTCAGACCCACGTGCACATCGGTGGTGGAACAAAACTGTGATCACTCTTGTATAATTTGCTGAAAAACCAAATATTGAGTTAAGGCCCAGGTGGATTATCTTTCGAATCTGATCTTGATTTTTTTATTTATTTTAATAATATGATGAAATGATCTCCAATTGCTATTCAGTTTTACATAGCCCTGAAGTCTCCATAAATTAAGATTGTACAATCAAAAAAACATTGAAAAAAAAGTTGAACATTTTCAAAGAGCGTTTTTGAATAAGATTGGGAAATAAACCCAAAAGGGAGGAAATTGCAAATTAATAATTTGATGTATCTAATGGCTGTGAGGTCATCATTTGTCACAGTAGTCAATGGCTGTCAGATCGTTAGTTACCATAATAAATTATCCATTCACTATATCCTCTCTACCGGACTTATTTCTTAATCTTTATTAAAAACGCTCTTTGAAAATATTCATTCTTTTTCTACTTTTTTTTATTGTACAATCATAATTTTTCGGGACTCCTGCGTGATGTAAAATACAATGGAAATTGCGCTATATTTTACATTATGAGGATAGAAAAACAATCGAGATAACGTTCGAAAGATGATCCACCCGTGCCTTAACTTTTCCATTTCGCTTAGATATTTGAAATGAAATGCAATCCTCCGTATTAAATAATTCATCGGCTTTGTTCATGTATATTAATGGAGGAATACGCTTATGATGAGAGAGTTAACTTTTATATTTAATAATAATTAAACACTTTTTGTGAAAAGAGAGTTGTGCTTGACATTTGTGTTTTGTAAGCACCAAGATAGTACATGTAATCGACCAACTCTTATTCATTTATTTTTGCAATTTGAATTTCGATTATAGGATTACCTGGGCCTCCTGGGAAACCAATTCTTATACCGTCATTTACTGAAGATTCTCAACCCATTATTGTTGGAATTCGCTGGGAAAGATCTTGTTATAATGGAGGCTCTGCTATCATTGGCTATTTGGTGGAGCATCGACGTCTTGGTTCACCCCACTGGGTGAGATCATCGCCCGGTCTCTGTTCATTTCCGGAGCTTACCTTGACCGGTCTCGAACCAGGATGGCGATATCAATTTCGCGTAAGGGCGCAAAATACTGTTGGGCTATCTCCCACCAGCGAGATATCTGATCCATTGACCGTAACACTCCAACGTACAGAAGCAGCAGCGCCATATTTTATTTCAGAATTGAGAAATACAACCGCTTTAGAGAATGAACAAGTAATATTAAAATTTCATTTGTTTTATATTAAGAAATATATATATTTTTTGGTTCAATCTATGCAATTTCAATTGATACATTTTGCCTATGCAGGTGGAATTTATTGTACATTTTTTGGGAACACCGATACCCAAGATATCGTGGTTCAAGGATGGCTTCGAAATATTCAGTAGTCGTAGAACAAAGATAATCACTGAGAATGGTCGAAGTAGTCTGGTAATTCATCAAACAGCTTTAAATGATGAAGGAGAAATAAAATGTACTGCTGTTAATAAGGCAGGTCACATTAGTACCCGGGGAAAACTCATTTTACAAGGTAAAATTTTTTTTTTAATTTCAGTTGTTATGATTTGCTGATGAGACAATTTCATAGCATCAGTGCAACTTTTTAGCACTTCCAAAAATACGACTTCCACGACAGTACGAAGATGGTCTATTATTCGAAAAAGGCGAGACCATTAAATTAAAAATATCAATCGCTGGACGACCATTCCCCTCTGTAACATGGTATCATGACGGCGAAATCATTGATGTTGATGATAGGCATATCATGGAATCGATAGATACTGGAGAATACTCTTTAACAATTTTGGCAGCAAAAAGAAAGGATCGAGGAGAATACACGATGAAAGCTTCAAATAAACTTGGAGAAGATAGTTCATCTTTTCTTGTTACTGTAACAGGTATTGGAGTGCTGCAAAGTATGCTGTAATTATCTGTAATTATTTACTCCTACAAATAATATTTAAATTCATCCAAGATCGCCCTGCTGCTCCTGGAACTATAAAAATCATAATGACTTTGGGTCGGTCGGTGACCCTCTCGTGGACCGAACCTGAAGATGATGGTGGTTGTAAAATAGGCACATATATTGTCGAATATTATAGGGTGAGTTGAGATTAGTAATGGCATTTGTAATTAAATGAATTTAATGAGAGAGAAAAAAGATTCGATTTTTCACTTGGGTCTGTCTTTATTCTCCAGATTGGTTGGAATGTGTGGTTAAAAGCAAACACAAGTCGTAGACCTGAAGCCACTCTTGTTGATTTAATTGGGGATTCAGAATATAAATTTCGAGTTAAGGCAGAAAATCCATATGGTGTTAGTGATCCTAGTGAAGAAAGTGATGTTGTATTCATTCCTCAGACCAGGGGGAGGTAAATTTAAATGCATAATTTATCATTTGAAAAACACACCCGATGTTCTCTGAATTATTTGCATTTGAAAGAAATACAAATGAGTTGTAATGTATTTATCTATTAGTTCCAGTAAGAGCGCACCATCACTCGCTGGAGATGGAAAATTCCAAGGAGAGCAGAAAAATTACCGAGGTCGCAGATTAGAAAAGCATAATGATGAGGATGATATCCAAAAATCAACGAAAAGAACAAGAAGTTTAACAAGGGATGAGGGGACAGCAGGCCCTCAACATTCTCAAGATTTTCATCTTAAACAGTTACAGACATTGGCTTCAAGATCAGTTTCCGTACAACGCTTGGGATCAGACATTGCATTGACAAAATCTTCTAGATCTGATAGTCGAGTAACTTTTGCCGACACTGTATTCCTTCATGGAGAAAAGCCATTAGAAGATCCGTTCATCCCTCGCGCGAAACCACGTTCAAAACCTGATAGGAATTTGAAAGCTACTTACGAAAAAGTGAATGATTCGACAGCGCCAGAAGGAGCATTATCTCATAATTCTGATAATTCATCTATTCATAATTATTCAAATTCTAACGAACAAAGCAAATTGCCTTTTTCAAAGACGGCAATCCATTCTACCATTTCCCAAACGAACACCGCTAATTCATCAGTTGAAAAACAGTATGACGAAGCAAGAAACGATGAAGAATTCATGTTGATTTTATATCCCAATACTGATGCTATATATATAGAAAAGAAATATACATCTGAAACTGATTGTAACTTTGAAAATGATGATGATTTACTACCTCCACCTATGTCTCGCTCGCTACCTGAATTATTTAGTGCACATCATCATCTTATCGAAATAGTCAGGGAAGCTTTTAGTTCAACAGAACTGCTCCACGAACGTGCAATTGAGCGATTCCAAAGGGCTTTAGCTATAGAAGAGGCCAATATGAGAAAAGATGCTTTGAATCTTGAAAATTTTAAACATGGAACACACTTGAGTTTAAATAAATTGAGAAATTTACATCCACCGAGGGTACAATTGACTACAGCCTCATCTCATTTTGAGATTCCAACAATGTGGAATAAACGGAGATTGAGTGAAGGACAAGTTGTTTGCATAAATACTGATAATGCAAGTATTGCTTCGCAACTGACAGTTTCTTCTGACCCTAATTTAGTAGATTTCAATTCAAATGAACAGCCTCAATATAAAATTCATGAACCACTTTCAGAACCTACGATGAGTCTTCGAAGATGGGATGATGAAACTTTGTATTCTGTATCTAAAAATCAATTTTTGAAATTTAATAAAACGTCACAAGAAGAACTCATGTCAGATAATGAGGAAAAATTATTGTCAAACAAAGCATCAACTACAGAGCATATAGAAAATGAAGGGAGCGTGAATAGTACAGAAAAAAAATTAAACATCGGAACCGTAGCTTTACAGCCCAAATCCATTCTTAAAAAAAGGGTTGATGACGTGTCTGTACCGAGCAATACCTCAATATTTATCACAGAAGTCAAATCACCAGATGCAGAGGAATTATTTTCTGATGTTACAAAGCTGAATGATATACAATCTAAGATGATAGCTGCGACTGAGAATAAAAGTTGGATGATCAATACATCTGATAATATGGAATTACCCGTAATGTCCGATACAGAAAATGATAATACTAGTCTGATGATGACAGCTGAAGTGGCTCAGAATCGTAGGAAATTGAGTGGAAAGTCTTCAATGGCTAAAAAAGACCCACCGGAATATAAAGAAGATGTTGAAGCCAAACGCGCTGTGATTGATCTTTATACCGAAATTGTTAATGCATATTCTTCTTCTCCTCCTTCATTTTCACGCTCAGCGAACTATACTACCGGAGAAAGTTCACGTACAACGAGTCCCACCCGCATTCCAAATAATGAAAATCTTCACAATCACAGCGATTTTTATGTAAATGACCATAAGAATTTTAAGGGTGCAATAACTCACAATGCCAATACAAAACTTTCTGAAAGTCAAAGAAGATCAAACGAGCGAAAAAGTCCAAGAGAATTTGGAAACAGTCCTATTGGAGGAAACAATATTCCATCTAGGCCTTCTGGGATGGAGTTAGAAAGAACTAGTAGAGAGTCGTCTACATCAAGATCATCCTCAAAAACTCGGAAAAGACGTGGACGGCAGTCATCATTTGAAAAAATAAAGATTCAAAAAAAGACATTCAAGGATTTGTCTATGATAAATCCCAATGAAATAGATGAACTGGAGAATTTAGAGAAACAGACAAATTTTAAGAAAAAAGATGAATTACTGGAGAAAATAACTTTGCGGAACCCAAAAATATCTACTATAAATGATGACGATATCAATAAAATTGCCGAACCCTTAATACTTCGAACTCGTGTCAAAGTTCAATCTATCATGAGTTATATCACTGATCTGATACTTTTTCTTGGTGCTCTTTACATTTATCTCTTTAAGAAGGAAATATTTGCTATGCCACTCATCGGACTCATACTCTATCGTAGAATACAAGCAAATTTAACAAATTGGATTCCACATTAATAAAAGAACAATATACATTCAGAAACATGAGTTGCCTAAATTGGTCCTCACAATACCATCATAATTTATCTGTTATGATTTTTTTTGTTTTCGATTTTCCTATTTATAAGTATGTCATTTTTGTATTACTTGAATAGTTCTATTATAAGTATGACCAATGTCTTGTTAGGTATCATGCATGTGTATCATATGCATTATACCTACTCTGGTTTTGGAAAAGTCATTCATTCTGTATGTGTGATTTTTTTTAGTATGAAAAATTCAATTATGAAAGTTACATTTTCACAATAATAGGAATAATGGCGTGGACTCGCGCGTGCGTAATGCTAACATGGAACAAATATCTTAGTATCTTATGCGCGCGCCATTAACCGAGATGACGATTTTAGACTAAAAAAGATAGCTTTCAAGAGAGAACGGCCGAGTTCCAACATCATTGGGATCTTATTTTGATCGGGCTAGTTAAACTTCATTCTGTAATTTTATTAAATTCAATAGCAATTCTCATCTCCATGATGGCAGTTATAATTTAAAAAAAAAAAAAAAACGTCAAAATATTCAGCAGTGAGTGACGATGTTTAAAATCGAAACAAAAACTGCAAAACGACACTATCTTTAAAGGTAAAAACTATTGTTTACATGTTTCATTGTATTATATCTAGAAATGTTGAAAATACTCAAATGGTTTAAATGAAATTTTGTGTATAACTGATCAATCTATACCTAATAATAAAATTCCTCTCGTGGATTGTGTATTTGAAATCTCTTATATTATATCCATAATATCCATGAGAAATGAGATTACGAGTATTGAGACTTAGTATGGCGGTTGTATTATTACGGTCTGGGAGAAATGCTGACTGAGAAAGTATTAATACTAGTGCATTAATGGAAAACTAAATTCTATGTAAGAGTTTGCCTTCAGGAGTTAATGCACATTAACGCGAGTAACTTTGGATCATTTACATGTTATTTTTAGAGCAACTGCCGGCGAATCGAACTTGACGGCACCGACGACGACAGCCGCGTTCGTCTCGGGCCCTGTACAATTAGATTATACGTACAATTTACACTCGATAAATGATGCTATCCTACCATAACATCCAATACCATTTACTATGATATCACATACCCTTGTTATAGTTGGTGAGTCTCATCCATTCACCATTATCCATTGTATAACAGAAGAAGAGGGGGAGACCAAAATTGAGCAACAAAGAGAATTAGAATTACCATACTTGATGTCTCTTGCCGTATTTATTTATTAATATTGCCATGTTATATAGACAAATGAGAGCAATTAATTGATTAACAATTGAATAAATGAAAATGCGATGAAATAGATATATATATATATATATATATATATATATATATATATATATATATATATATATA